GTACCCATGGAGTGTGTATAGCAGCTAAAATTTATATCTCACTAAATATACCGTGTTTCCCCGAAAATAAACCCTACCCCGAAAATAAGCCCTAGTCGGATTTTCGGGGTGGGCTGCAATATAAGCCCTACCCCGAAAATAAGACCTAGGCATTGTACCTTTGCGGCGAGACTTCCTTCTTCTGCTGTAGGAGGAGCGTCGCGCAACGTGATGACGACATTTTGCAGCGCCGTCAGTCTGCCTTCACGGATCTTCAGCGGAAGGATCCATTTCCGGGCGGTGAGGCTCCCAGTGGTCGGACTCGGCAAGGAATCTTTGAAATGTGAGTACCGCTAGATATTTTGTGTCTGGGATTAATTGGAATCTTTCAATTAGAGGGGGGTGAATTAATTAAAGGGGTGGTGAATTAATTAAAGGGTGGGCTGGATTAATTAGAGGGGGTGAATTAAAGGGGTGGTGAATTAATTAAAGGGTGGGCTGGATTAATTAGAGGGGTGAATTAATTAAAGGGGTGGTGAATTAAAGGGTGGGCTGGATTAATTAGAGGGTGGTGAATTAATTAAAGGGTGGGCTGGATTAATTAGAGGGGGTGAATTAATTAAAGGGGTGGTGAATTAATTAAAGGGGTGGGGAATTAATTAAAGGGTGGGCTGGATTAATTAGAGGGGGGTGAATTAATTAAAGGGTGGGCTGGATTAATTAGAGGGGGTGAATTAATTAAAGGGGGGGTGAATTAATTAAAGGGGGGACTGAATTAATTAGAGGGGGTGAATTAATTAAAAGGTGGGCTGGATTAATTAGAGGGGGTGAATTAATTAAAGGGGTGGTGAATTAATTAAAGGGTGGGCTGGATTAATTAGAGGGGGTGAATTAATTAAAGGGGTGGTGAATTAATTAAAGGGTGGGCTGGATTAATTAGAGGGGGGTGAATTAATTAAAGGGGGGTGAATTAATTAAAGGGGGGTGAATTAATTAAAGGGTGGACTGGATTAATTAGAGGGGGTGAATTAATTAAAGGGGTGGTGAATTAATTAAAGGGGTGGTGAATTAATTAAAGGGTGAGCTGGATTAATTAGAGGGGGTGAATTAATTAAAGGGGTGGTGAATTAATTAAAGGGTGGGCTGGATTAATTAGAGGGGGTGAATTAATTAAAGGGGTGGTGAATTAATTAAAGGGTGGGCTGGATTAATTAGAGGGGGGTGAATTAATTAAAGGGGGGTGAATTAATTAAAGGGTGGACTGGATTAATTAGAGGGGGTGAATTAATTAAAGGGTGGGCTGGATTAATTAGAGGGGGTGGATTAATTAGAGGGGGTGGATTAATTAGAGGGGGGTGGATTTATTAAAGGGGGGGATGGATTAATTAAAGGGGGGGTTCAATGTACATACCGGTACCGTAAATAAATAAGCCCTACCCTGAAAATAAGCCCTAGTGTGTTTTTTGTGACTAAAATTAATATAAGACCCGGTCTTATTTTCGGAGAAACACGGTAGCAACCTAATGCCTGCTCTTATCAGATTAAGTCACTTACTGGGAAAATCTATCCTCATAGGGCTCTCTGCAGAGCAATGTTAAATTGGGCCCTTTAATGGAATATTTATAGTATATATAAATAGAGCAATATAGATTTACTATACTATATTTACTGCTTCTCATCTTTTTCCATTTTTCTTTTTCTCATTTTGTTGGGAATTTATATGATCGTCTGATCAGCCCAAATTTAGATGCACTGCAGATTCTAAAAAAAAAATAATCTTTTTTTTAAGAAATACTGGTAAGAACCATACCAGGTTTTTTCTTCATTACATTTTGAATAAAAAGTTGTATAGTAGTTTTTATTATATAATTTTATTATATAATCATTTTGAACTTTCACCTGTCTTGTTGTGGGACTCCTAGGTCATTTAATAGGATGTTGTGAAAGCTCATGTTATTATAGTTATTAATTTTCTATTCTCATTTTCTGGACATAAATAAATAGGTTATATTCTGTTTTATAGCAGAAAACTGTTAAATAATATGTTATATGCATCAGACTAAGCTGACAGTGGTCTACACTTCCCAAAATTCTAAGCCAGCCACAGCAATCCAAAACTATTGAGCTTAAATATAGTACCTATTAAGAGCTTAAGATAAAAAGTGCAAGCTGTGATATATTTATTCCCGGTTATAAACCCTCTGCCTTGATATGGCAATTTTTTTTCAACATTAACTAATTAGGCATTATTTACATTTTAATAGAACTACAAGAGATCCACATGGATTTGTTTTTATTATTTCAACTCAAATGCAACTATGTAAAGTGTTGTATTACTGCACCCCATGAGGATTCTCAGCAAGCCGGATTACTGCATATTTATGATCAAGCTACGTGCACCTTCTTATAGACTATATAAAAGCCTTTTTGTATGCCAAAGCGTCACAAATATGTACCATATATTGCTAATCGTATTTATTTTTATCCTTTTTGCAGAAGTATTTCATATCCGAATATCAGGAATGGTACTATCTACCAATAAGACATTTTCTCTTGTTTTTATAAAAGGTTAGGTTACTTAATCTAAAACTACTCTCTGCTATCAAGTACCCCTTCACCCACCAACCTCAGCCTAACCCCCTTCAGCTCAGGAGGGACCTTAATTCCATTGACCTCCAGCAGCTGTCAGCTGATATTGATTCACAACTGCTATCCATCCCTTCCCCATCCTGTCCATCACTGGCCATCTCCACATTTAACACTACCCTCACCTCTGCCTTGAACGCTGAAGCCCAGCTCTAAAAACGCCCCCAAACATGGCCTACTGAACCAACATGCTGCCTGCAAAGATGCTCCCGTTGTGCTGAACGCTCCTGGAGAAAGTCTCACACCCAGGCAGACTATCTCCATTATAGATTCATATTGTGTTCATACAGGGTAGCTCTTGCCCTCGCCAAACAGTCATACTTTTCCTCTCTCATTAGTTCATGCTCCCGCAATCCCAGGTGTCTCATTGACACCTTTAACTCTCTTCTTCACCCTGCTGTGGCCACCCCCCAAACTAACCTCACAGCCGACAGCTTTGCATGCTACTTTACCGACAAGATTGAACAGCTAAGGAAATAATTCTCCCCACCTTGCGGTTCTCTTTCTCAACCACACGTAGATCATGCCTTTCCTAGCCTTCAGACTTTCTCCCCGACTACTAAAGAGGTGGCTGCACTTACCCTTTCCTCTCATCCCACCACTTGTCCGCTCGATTCTGTCCCATCTCACCTTATCAGATCTCTCTCCCCTTGTCTTTTGCCTTCCTTAACACACATCTTCAACGGCTCTCTCTCTTCTGGCATAGTTCCTGCTGACCTTAAACATGCCACTGTAGCACCTATCCTGAAAAAAACATCTCTTGACCCGTCCTCCCCCTCTAACTATCGTTCCTTATCCCTGCTCCCTTTTTCCTCAATGCTTCTGGAAAAACTTGTCTTTACCTGTATGTCTCACATCCTCAATTCTAACTCTCTCCTTGCCCCTCTTTAATCTGGCTCGCCCTCTCCACTCTACTGAGACTGCTCTTATCAAAGTTACTAATGACCCAATTGCAGCTAAGTCCAAAGGCCACTACTCCATACTAATTCTTCTTGACCTCTCTGCCTTTGACACCGTTGATCATGCTCTCCTTCTTCACATTCTTCACTCAGTCTCTGTGACTATGTCCTCTCGTGGTTTTCCTCTTATCTCTCCCAATGCTCATTCAGTGTCTCATTTTCTAATGATACCTCCTCCCCTCGTACTGTCTCGGTTGGAGTCCCTCAAGGATCTGTCATTGGTCCCCTTCTATTTTCTCTTTATACTGCCTCTCTTGGCAAACTTATGACCTCATTTGGATTCCACTACCACCTGTACGCTGATGACACCCAGATATATCTCTTCTCCCCGGACCTCTACCCTGCCATCCTGCAAAGTGTCACTGCTTGCCTTTCTTCCATCTCTGACTGGATGTTCTCCCGCTTTCTGAAACTCAATCTCTCTAAAACTAAGCTCCTGGTCTTTCCTCCTCTTAATACTGATTCTCCTCTTTCGCTCTCCCTTCAAGTTAGTTGTTTCCACGTAAGTCCATCCTTGCAAGTGCGCTGTCTTGGCATCATACTTGATTCTGGCCTCACCTTTGAACCTCACATCCAGTATGTTGCCAAATCCTGTAGATTCCATCTTAAAAACATAGCCTGCATCTGCCCCTTTCTTACGCAAGATGCTACCAAGGAGCTTGTCCATGCTCTAGTAATTTCCTGCATGGATTATTGTAACCCTCTCCTAATTTGTCTTCCCAAAAGCTGTATTTTCCAGCTACAGTCGTTAATGAATGCTGCCGCCAGACTGATTTTCCTCTCTAGTCGGTCCTCTCACACCTCTGTCAATCCTTACATTGGCTTCCTATAGGAGTCAATTCAAAGTGCTAACCCATACCTATAAAGCACTGAACAATTCAAGCCCCTTTTATATCTCTTCCCAGATCCATAGGTATTCCCCTTCTCTGTCTCTCCGCTCTGCCCGTGACCTTCTTCTGTCCGTTGCTCGCACCCGTACAGCCAACTCACGTTTGCAGGACGTCTTGCGGGCTGCTACCTTCCTATGGAATAGTCTGCCTGCCGCCATCAGATTCTCCCCTAGTCTTCAATTGTTGAAGAACTGCCTTAAAACTAAGCTTATGGCCTCCCAGAGTAACCTCTACCTCTCTTGCTCTCTCCTAAAGGGCAGCACTTTACTTTCTCCTCCAGCTCTGCTTTACTCCCACCTAATTTAATTGCTATTTCCTGTCCTAATGTGTTTTATACCCCACCTCCTATAAACTGTAAGCTAGTTTGAGCAGGGTCCTCTTCAACCTATTATTCCTGTAAGTTTTCTTGTAATTGTCCTATTTACAGTTAAATCCCCTCTCTCATAATATTGTAAAGCGTTGGAATATGTTGGCGCTATATAAATGGCAATAATAATAATAATAATCGCTAAAATCAGTGGATTAGTGTGTATATTCCCAAATTGAGAAGAGGCTATTTGGTCTCTAAGGACACTCTTACTCTCATATGCATCAAATGTATATTTTTACAATGGAATCTTCAATGTATAAAATAAACACAAAAACTAAATTAGATGCTAGTAAATTTGTTTAAATTAAATATAGTGGTAGTCCAGGCACTCAAGGTGATAGCCAAAAATGCAGTTTTATTGGAGCAAACAAGCAGCAACGTTACGAGCTAAAATTTGTTTTAAGGCACATTGTAAATTAGCATACTTTGTTAGCAGCCCTTACACATTTAATCATTTGTTTTTAGAATATTTATTGCCAAACAAAATTGATCAGATTGTCAACTCCAAATTTGCAGTTTAAATAGATCACATGGCGCTCTACAGAAATGATGTGATATGTTCAATTCAAGGGTATCAAGCAAGACTTTATTAGAAGAGGATATTAGAGGATTATTGTCGTTTAGAGAAAAGGCTGTCATTCTATACCTTGTGAATCTGTTTGCACCTGCTTTCACTGCTATTAAGATTCTTATAAAGACATAACTACATTAGATTCAATGCATTTTTTCCTTGTGATAAGTATTTAAAGACAAATTCCTTCATGGGTTCAAGCTGTATGAGGTATGAGATCTCTCTGTAGTTTGATAAAGCATTTCCTGTTAAGAATTGTTGTAAAAAGTCTTTCACGAGATTGGGCTCTGTTACATTATATATATTTTTATCACTATCTCTAATAAAACCTGTTTCAAGATAGAGTAGATTTTTTTAACCTTAGTCTTCACCTGAAATAGAAACACATTTTTCCATCTGTGGCCTGGGCTTTATTGAGACCTTGTATTGCATGCAAAAGAAATATAATTTATGCAATTTCTCACTCCTGACCCATACTGGAACTTATATGATTCTAAAGTACGGGACTGCATTTTATCACCCAGGTAATGTAAAGAAGTGCAAGGACTCTCACGGAACTGCAAGACGTATGCGTAGGCTGCGATAATGAGGTAACTGTACTTACTCTATATGGCAACTATCTCAACATACAGACATTATTTATACATTATGATGATATTTTGGGAATTTGCATTCACAAAAATGTATGCAGGGTTCAAATACCTATAAGCAGGTTGAATGACCGATTTTACTTATTTTCTGCTCTTGTTTTTGTATTATTATTTTTAAAGCGCCAACAAGTTCCGTAGCGCTGTACAATGGGTGGACGAATAGACATATATTTGTAACCAGACAAGTATGACACACAGGAACAGAGAGATTGAGGGCCCTGCTCAAAGAGCTTATAAGCCAGATGGAGTGGGTAAATGTGACACAAAAGGTAAGGGTAGGGTAGAAAAGTAGGTTGCTAGGATAGTGTTCATTGAGGGCTTAGTGTTTAGTTTTGATGATAGTTTCAGGAGAGGTGCGGGGAGGAAAACCTGTTCACAGTTTAATTGATATGCTTTTTTAAAGAAGTAAGTTTTCAAAGATTTTTTTGAAGGAGTGGAGACTGGGTGAGAGTCTAACAGATAGGGGAAGGGTGTTCCATAGGAACCGTGCAGCCATAGAGAAGGCTTTAAGGTGAGTATCAGAGGTAGGAGTACGAACAGAGGTTAGACATAGGTACCCGGCAGAGTGTAGGGGCCTAGACAGAACATGTATGTGTATAAGTGAGGATAAGTAGGTGGGAGCAGCATTGTGTAGAGATTTGTAAGCAAGCATCAGGATCTTAAATTGAGTCCTATATCTTACGGGAAGCCAATGTAGGGACTGACAAAGATGGGAGGCGCGGGAGGTGTGGGCGGACAGGAAGATGAGCGCCGCATTCATTATAGACTGTAACGGGCAAGTTGGGAACACGTAAGATTACTGAGAAGCGGATTACAGTAGTCAACGTGAGAGAGGATAGCAGCATGCACAAGCACCTTTGTCTTATCAGGCTTTATATAGGGTTGGATGCGCGCAATGTTTTTGAGATGGAATCGGGGTTTGGCGATTGATTGGACATGAGGGTGAAGGAGAGGTCGGAGTCAAAGAGAACACCTAGGCAGCGAGGTAGAGCGGATGGTAGCACCATTGACTTGGAGGGACACAGACAAGGGAGTAGCAACACTTGAGGGAGGGTAGACCAGAAGTTCTGTTTTGGACAGGTTCAGTTTAAGGAAATGAGCAGCCATCCAGTTGGAAATAGCAGAGAGACAGCCGGAGACATGAGTCAAGAGAGTGGTAAGAAATCAGGGAAGAACAGCTAAATTTGAGTGTCATCTGCATAAAAATCATACTGAAAGCCGAAGGAGCTGATGACTTTACCAAGGGAGGCAGTGTAGATTCAGAAAAATAGCGGACCAAGGAAAGACCCTTCGGGAACACCAACAGAGAGGGATTGGGGAGAAGAGGCAGAGCCAGAGAAAGAAACACTGAATGAGCACTGGGAGAGGTAGGAAGAGCACCAGGAGAGAGATGTATCTAATAGAGATTACGGAGGATGAGAAGAAGCTGTTGATGATCAACAGTGTCATGTGCAGCAGAAAGGTCGAGGAGTGGCCATGAGATTTAGCAGTGATAAGATCATTGAATACTTGGTCACAGCTGTTTCAACAGGTATATCTTCTATTTGTGACAAAAAATTTAATTTGCACTTTTTACAATTTCTTAACCAGGCTAAAATACTATAACATAAAGAATAACATATACTTTCTATTACTTTAGGCCCCACACCCAATATTTATTTAAATGAATTTTATTTCATACCAGACTAGTAGTATTTTCAAACTCTTAAAGACTGTTATGATCGATAAAAAGGAAGGTGTGCAGAGCAAATATGATTACAGTAGCCAATCATACTTTGTGATTTATTGAGTAGCTCTCAGCTCTCATCCGTACAAAAAGGAGGAAATGGCTCTATAACTCTTATGACACTGACTGTCTGCTGTACCCAATGAAATCTTTCACACAGCTTTGAAAAAAAATATGAAATAAAAAAGACTAAGAAATTATCATCATATATGTAGGCAGTTTTTAAAGTGTCCTATTATCTTGCTTAGAGCATTTCTAAAGGCACTTCTGCTTGTGTGTCAAAATTATTTTAACACTGCCATGTTCCCAGAAATTGGCTAATAGCTTGTCATCATGGCTTAAACTTGCCAACCATTCCCTTGGCAGTGTTAGCGGTTTAGAATAGGTTTAGAATTGTAATGGATAGTTTACATGAC